TTGCATGTCAGAGCAAAAACCAAGCCATGAGTTTGAAGGAATTGTCCTTAGAGCTCCGAGACAGGATTGTGTCGAGGCACAGATCTGGGGAACGGTACCAAAACATGTCTGCAGCATCACATTAACAAACATATATGTATACAGTGGCTTGCGAAACTATTCACCCCCCTTGGCATTTTTCCTATTTTGTTGCCTTACAACCTGGAAATAAATTTGATTTTTTGAGGGTTTGTATAATTTGATTTACACAACATGCCTACCACTTTGAAGATACAAAATATATTTTTTTCTGAAACAAACAAGAAATAAGACTAAAACAGAGAACTTGAGCGTGCATAACTATTCACCCCCCCAAAGTCAATACTTTGTAGAGCCACCTTTTGCAGCAATTACAGCTGCAAGTCTCTTGGGGTATGTCTCTATAAGCTTGGCACATCTAGCCACTGGGATTTTTACCCATTCTTCAAGGCAAAACTGCTCCAGCTCCTTCAAGTTGGATGGGTTCCACTGGTGTACAGCAATCTTTAAGTCATACCACAGATTCTCAATTGGATTGAGGTCTGAGCTTTGACTAGGCCATTCCAAGACATTTAAATGTTTCCCCTTAAACCACTCGAGTGTTGCTTTAGCAGTATGTTTAGGGTCATTGTCCTGCTACTAATTATGTGACTTCTGAAGGTAATTGGTTGCACCAGATCTTATTTAGGGGCTTCATAACAAAGGGGGTGAATACATATGCACGCACCACTTTTCTGTTATTTATTTTTTTCATTTCACTTCACCAATTTGGACTGTTTTGTGTACGTCCATTACATGAAATCCAAATAAAAATCTATTTAAATGACAGGTTGTAATGCAACAACATAGGAAAAAAGGGGGATGAATACTTTTGTAATGCACTGTAGGTGGGATGGAATGAGAGTAGCTGAGGGGTGGGTCCAAAAGCTCATGTTCTATAATAGTTATGACTGAAAACACGATGTATAATGTATAAGTACTATCTATCCAGATGTTATGTACACTGAACAAAAATATAAACGCAACACGCAACAATTTCAAAGATTTTGCAGAGTTACAGGTCATACAAGGAAATCAGTCAATTGATATAAAATAATCAGGCCCTAATCTATGGATTTGACATGACTGGGCAGGGGCTAGGGCCACCCACTCTGGAGCCAGGCCCACCCACTGGGGAGACAGGCCCAGCCAATCAGAATTAGTTTTTCCTAACAAAATGGCTTTACCAAGGTGAGAGATTTGGTTTAGTTATGCTGCGTCTATACTGTATACAAAAGTATGTGGACACTCCTTCAAATTAGTGCATTTGGCTATTTCAGCCACACCCGTTGCTAACAGGTGTATAGAATTGTGCATTCAGCCGTGCAATCTCCATAGAAAAAAACATTGGCAGTAGAATGGCCTTACTGAAGAGCTCAGTGACTTTCAACGCGACACCGTCATAGGATGGCACCTTTCCAACAAGTCAGTTCGTCAAGTTTCTGCCCTGCTAGAGCTCACCAGCCTCCCCTGCCAACCCCAGCCCCCCCTGCCTCACCAGCCTCCCCTGCCATCCCAAGCCCCCCCTGCCTCACCAGCCACCCCTGCCTCCCCAGCCACCCATTCCTACCCTGGTTTGACACAACAGACCTCTCTGAATGGTGGGAACATGGTGGGCATTCCAAGTCCTATTTGGTACGCTGGCATTCTGTGTGGATCCCCCCCTGCCAATTGGCTGCCAGCCTGACTGGCACCGTGCCTGGATCTGTGGAGGCCTTAGCTGTAACCATGGGAACGTCTTGGCTTGACCTATAGCGAGCAAGGACAGGGCAGGACAGTGGCACAGTTCTCCATGCCGTGGCAGTTTAGCCAGTGTTTAGCTTCACACTGTGCTTTAACCAACAGGGCCTGTGGATCTGGGCATGCAGATTTTCAGTGCTCATTTCTACATGTACTCATGACACCCCTAGATGTACTCATGACACCTCTACATGTACTCATGACACCCCTAGATGTACTCATGACACCTCTACATGTACTCATGACACCCCTAGATGTACTCATGACACCTCTAGATGTACTCATGACACCTCTAGATGTACTCATGACACCTCTAGATGTACTCATGACACCCCTAGATGTACTCATGACACCTCTAGATGTACTCATGACACCCCTAGATGTACTCATGACACCTCTAGATGTACTCATGACACCCCTAGATGTACTCATGACACCTCTAGATGTACTCATGACACCTCTAGATGTACTCATGACACCTCTAGATGTACTCATGACACCCCTAGATGTACTCATGACACCTCTAGATGTACTCATGACACCTCTATATGTACTCGTGACACCTCTAGATGTACTTGTGACACCTCTAGATGTACTCATGACACCTCTAGATGTACTCATGACACCTCTACATGTACTCGTGACACCTCTAGATGTACTCGTGACACCTCTAGATGTACTCATGACACCTCTAGATGTACTCATGACACCTCTAGATGTACTCATGACACCTCTATATGTACTCATGACACCTCTAGATGTACTCATGACACCTCTAGATGTACTCATGACACCCCTAGATGTACTCATGACACCCCTAGATGTACTCATGACACCCTAGATGTACTCATGACACCTCTAGATGTACTCATGACACCCTAGATGTACTCATGACACCTCTAGATGTACTCATGACACCCTAGATGTACTCATGACACCCCTAGATGTACTCATGACACCCCTAGATGTACTCATGACACCTCTAGATGTACTCATGACACCTCTAGATGTACTCATGACACCTCTAGATGTACTCATGACACCTCTAGATGTACTCATGACACCCCTAGATGTACTCATGACACCCCTAGATGTACTCATGACACCCTAGATGTACTCATGACACCTCTATATGTACTCATGACACCCCTAGATGTACTCATGACACCTCTAGATGTACTCATGACACCTCTAGATGTACTCATGACACCTCTAGATGTACTCATGACACCTCTAGATGTACTCATGACAACCTCTAGATGTACTCATGACCACTCTAGATGTACTCATGACACCTCTAGATGTACTCATGACACCTCTAGATGTACTCATGACACCTCTAGATGTACTCATGACACCTCTAGATGTACTCATGACACCCCTAGATGTACTCATGACACCCCTAGATGTACTCATGACACCTCTAGATGTACTCATGACACCTCTAGATGTACTCATGACACCTCTAGATGTACTCATGACACCTCTAGATTCCCTAGATGTACTCATGACACCCCTAGATGTACTCATGACACCTCTAGATGTACTCATGACACCTCTATATGTACTCGTGACACCTCTAGATGTACTTGTGACACATCTAGATGTACTCATGACACCTCTAGATGTACTCATGACACCCCTAGAAGTACTCATGATACCTCTATATGTACTCATGACACCCCTAGATGTACTCATGACACCCCTAGATGTACTCATGACACCCCTAGATGTACTCATGACACCTCTAGATGTACTCATGACACCCCTAGATGTACTCATGACACCCCTAGATGTACTCATGACACCTCTAGATGTACTCATGACACCTCTAGAAGTACTCATGACACCTCTAGATCAATTCTACAGATGGTAGTACATGGGACTTGAAACCTAAATATATTTCTGAAAGTGTTTTCTAGTTGAGGTTTTTCTCCATCCTGGATCTAAACGGGAGGGTTCCTATAACATTTTGATTTACACTTGGCTGTCATAGCTTCATTTTTTACTCACTCGAACGCCCTCTGCCCCGTCCATCCCTTAGTAACGGTATCATCTGGTTTAGGAGGACACTAGAAGGAGAAGCAAGCTGTCATTCACTCTCATCCTCTGTAGGTAGAAGAGGGGGTGTTGGAGGAGATGTGACGGAGGGGGGGGGTGACGTGGGGAGGGGGGTGGACGGGGGGTGTTGGAGTGAGATGTGACAGGGGGGGAGGGGTGACGTGGAGGGGTGACGGGGGTGTTTGGAGGAGATGTGACGGGGGGGGGTGGGTGGGAGGTGGGTGATGTGGGAGGGGGGTGACGGGGGTGTTGTGGAGGAGATGTGGACGGGGGGGGGAGGGGTGATGTGGGAGGGGGTGTGATGGGGGTGTGACAGGCTCATCCTCAGTAGAGTGAAAGATAGCTCTCCACTAACGGGATTAGAGGAGGAGGGAGTGGCTGAGACATGCAGGGACTAGGAGATTAGGTTTTAAATAGTCACACGGAACAGGACAACTAACAGGTAACTAAGCAACAGACGTTTTCTGATCAGAGAGGGGAAAACGAGACGCGTAACACACCATCTGGGATAGCAGCTTCCGTTGACATCTTTCTCTCAGACAATCCAAACCAAACCACACAGTGAGGAAGACAACCACTTGTAGAAATATCTCGAGCGTTAGTCGACGGGTAAAAGAAGCTCGACAAGAAGCTCAACTCGACCTAGCTGAAGACGAGCGTTAGTCGACGGGTAAAAGAAGCTCGACAAGAAGCTCAACTCGACCTAGCTAAAGACGAGCGTTAGTCGACGGGTAAAAGAAGCTCGACAAGAAGCTCAACTCGACCTAGCTAAAGACGAGCGTTAGTCGACGGGTAAAAGAAGCTCGACAAGAAGCTCAACTCTCGACCTAGCTGAAGACGAGCGTTAGTCGACGGGTAAAAGAAGCTCGACAAGAAGCTCAACTCGACCTAGCTGAAGACGAGCGTTAGTCGACGGGTAAAAGAAGCTCGACAAGAAGCTCAACTCGACCTAGCTGAAGACGAGCGTTAGTCGACGGGTAAAAGAAGCTCGACAAGAAGCTCAACTCGACCTAGCTGAAGACGAGCGTTAGTCGACGGGTAAAAGAAGCTCGACAAGAAGCTCAACTCGACCTAGCTGAAGACGAGCGTTAGTCGACGGGTAAAAGAAGCTCGACAAGAAGCTCAACCTGACTAAGAGCAAGATGTCGTCGAAGGATAAGCTGGAGGGTCTGGTGAAGCGTATGGAGGTGACCCTGACGGAGATGGATGCTCTGAAGCTCCACTGTGGGAAGCAGAGCGAGGAGCTCAGCCTGCTGGTGGTGGACCTGCGCAGGGAGAACCAGGAACTGCTGGAGAAATACAACCAGCTGGCTGCAGATATGAAGGAAGCCAAGGAGATCATAGAACAACTACAGGACACCAAGTACGCCTTCGACGCCAAGGAGAGGCAAGCCCGCAAACTCAGCAAGCAGCTGTGAGAGGAATCCAGGGAGAGTGGGTGAAACGGGCTCAGGATCTGAGGGAGAACCCACTGGTCACAGACTGGTTGAATCAATGTTGTTTCCACGTCATTTCAACAAAAATATTCAACCTGGTGACGTTGAATGAATGTGTTTGGGGAAAACTGATTGGATTTGCAAAAAGACAACATAAAGGAAATTCTGGAATTTTGGCCTTTTTTTCAGTCAACTTTGAAACTAAATCCAGTGATGCGGTTAACATTTTTGTTTATTTCACTTTGAATTAATGTTATTTGACAACTCAATAAAATATAAATCAAAACGATATATATCTGTGCACAGTGGGATGGGCTCTGAGGGTCTGGGGAGGAGGAGGAAGAGGAGGAAGAGGAGCAGAAGGGAACTGGGTGGAAAAATAAGGGTGGCTGGATTGGATGTACAGTATGTAGGAAGAAAAGGCCTGTTTTGTTGAGAGGGAATAGGGCAGGGGTTGAGTTGTTGAGAGGGAATAGGGCAGGGGTTGAGTTGTTGAGAGGGAATAGGGCAGGGGTTGAGTTGTTGAGGGAATAGGGCAGGGGTTGAGTTGTTGAGAGGAATAGGGCAGGGGTTAGTTTGTTGAGAGGGAATAGGGCAGGGGTTGAGTTGTTGAGAGGGAATAGGCAGGGGTTGAGTTGTGAGAGGAATAGGGCAGGGGTTTGAGTTGTGAGAGGAAGGGCAGGGGTTGAGTGTTGAGGTGGTGATTGTTATTCTCTAATGTATGACTTATTTATTTATGTCTGAGTGGTGCGAGTGTAGTTATGGTGTGTACATTTAACCAGCAACGAGGATCGGATTAATGTAAAGTGAAGTAAATCCAATGTGAACTTAAATGCTGTGGCTTAGTGTGTACTTTAAAGCTGTATTTAGATGTAATGACCAAGACAACAGATTGGGGATTTCTGTGAGGGGAGGATGTGGGGACTGTGGATTCTAGCAGATTGGGGGACGTCATCATGGCTAGTATGGGTTATATGGGGTGTACTGTAATGGAGACATTTAAAAGGGATGGACTAGAGGGAGTGAGGACCATAGAGATGGACTAGAGAGAGTGAGGACCATAGAGATGGACTAGAGAGAGTGAGGACCATAGAATGGACTAGGGGAGTGAGGACCTAGAGATGGACTAGAGGGAGTGAGGACCATAGAGATGGACTAGAGGGAGTGAGGACCATAGAGATGGACTAGAGAGAGTGAGGACCATAGAGATGAACTAGAGGGAGTGAGGACCATAGAGATGGACTAGAGAGAGTGAGGACCATAGAGATGGACTAGAGGGAGTGAGGACCATAGAGATGGACTAGAGGGAGTGAGGACCATAGAGATGGACTAGAGGAAGTGAGGACCATAGAGATGAACTAGAGGAAGTGAGGACCATAGAGATGGACTAGAGGGAGTGAGGACCATAGAGATGGACTAGAGGGAGTGAGGACCATAGAGATGGACTAGAGGGAGTGAGGACCATAGAGATGGACTAGAGGAAGTGAGGACCTAGAGATGGACTAGAGGGGAGTGAGGACCATAGAGATGGACTAGAGGGAGTGAGGACCATAGAGATGGACTAGAGGGAGTGAGGACCATAGAGATGGACTAGAGAGAGTGAGGACCATAGAGATGGACTAGAGAGAGTGAGGACCATAGAGGATGAACTAGACTAGAGGGGAGTGAGGGACCTAGAGATGGACTAGAGAGAGTGAGGACCATAGAGATGGACTTAGAGGGAGTGAGGACCATAGAGATGGACTAGAGGGAGTGAGGACCATAGAGATGGACTAGAGGGAGTGAGGACCATAGAGATGAACTAGAGGAAGTGAGGACCATAGAGATGGACTAGAGGGAGTGAGGACCATAGAGATGGACTAGAGGGAGTGAGGACCATAGAGATGGACTAGAGGGAGTGAGGACCATAGAGATGGACTAGAGAGAGTGAGGACCATAGGATGGACTAGAGGGGAGTGAGGACCATAGAGATGGACTAGAGGGAGTGAGGACCATAGAGATGGACTAGAGGGAGTTAGGACCATAGAGATGGACTAGAGGGAGTGAGGACCATAGAGATGGACTAGAGAGAGTGAGGACCATAGAGATGGACTAGAGGGAGTGAGGACCTGTACCATAGAGATGGACTAGAGGGAGTGAGGACCATAGAGATGGACTAGAGGGAGTGAGGACCATAGAGATGGACTAGAGAGAGTGAGGACCTGTACCATAGAGATGGACTAGAGGGAGTGAGGACCATAGAGATGGACTAGAGAGAGTGAGGACCATAGAGATGGACTAGAAGGAGTGAGGACCACATCATCAAGATTCCACCCAGATCCATATTTCCAGAGTCCAGATAAACCACTAGGCACCACTGGGCTGTCTGTCCACAATAACAGGTTGTTTGGGAGTTTCTGCCTAAAAGGAGCGAAGGCTACAATCACTGTGTTCCTAAAACCACCTCACCCCCAAAAGACAGAAGAGGAGCCTCACCCACCCTAAAGAGGAGGGAGGAGGAGGGGGAGGAAGAGGAGGGAGGAGGAGGAGGGGGAAGGAGGATGGGAGGAGGAGGGGGGAGGAGAGAGGAGGAGGGGGAGGAGAGGAGGAGGAAGAGGGGGGAGGAGGAGAGGAGGAGGGGAGGAGGAGGAGGGGGAAGGAGGAGGAAGGGGAGGAGGGGGGAGGAGGGGGAGGAGGAGGAGGAGGAAGGAGGAGGAGGAGGAGGAGGGGGGAGGGGGAGGGGGAAGGAGGAGGAGGAGGAGGAGGAGGAGGAGGGAGGGGGAGGAGGAGGAGGGGGGAGGAGGAGGAGGAGGAGGACGGGTGGGGAGGAGGAGGAGGGGGGAGGAGGAGGATGGTGGGGGAGGTGGAGGAGGAGGGGGGGAGTAGGAGGAGGAGGAGGAGGAGGGGAGCCAGTTCTGGAAACACATGGTGGTAGTTTCCTAACCATAGTGCAGCTGTGGCGGTTTCCCTGTTTTTAAACCCAACATAACCACTCTGTTTGCTAACTGATCATCTCTGTAGTTCTCATGTGAAGGTTTAGCTAGATTTACATTGGTAGAGATCAATGGCCATAGGAACAAAACATTATACAATCTCACACCTCTAAAATAATCATTTATAAGGTCTTTATTTGTTTTATATTTAGTTCCTTTACTGGTTTATTTTATTTGTATCTTTCATTCCTTCAATTCAATTCTCCAAAATGTAGAAAACACAACCAAGTGTTTCGGATTATGACTTCTGTCTTGAAGACATTTGTGATTAAGGCTGATGACACCCCATTCAGCAGGGTTGGGGTCAATTAGGAATTTCTGAATTTAATTCAATTTAAGCCTTGAATTGAAATCTGAATTTGAATTGGACACACCCCACAGGAAGCAGAATGTGAATTGAATTGGAATGAAATGAAGTAGAATTTAATTCAAAGCAATTCAGCTGGTAGAGCACGGCGCTTGTAACGCCAAGGTAGTGGGTTCGATCCCCGGGACCACCCATACACAAAAAAATGTATGCACGCATGACTGTAAGTCGCTTTGGATAAAAGCGTCTGCTAAATGGCATATTATTTGTATTTATTATTTAAAGAAATTCAACTGAGACATGAAGCATGAAAGTCTCATTCATTTGAAAAAACGTTTTTACAAAAATCATCAGTCACTTGTTACTGCAAAGAATACAGATAACATTTCAAATATTAGCTTGATTACAAGTCAAAGATAAACCCATTTTGTTTTGTATTTTTCCATTCCATTCTGGAGTGTTTGATGCATTCTAAGAAATGTATTTTCTTTCATATTTAATAACATGTCAGTGAATTATGAATGATTATAGACAACCTACAAAAATATCTTAGAATATTTCCAGACTACTATAATTATGTAACATTTGTTTAAAGATAACTAGTATGTAAAAAGCATATGTTTCAACCATATGTTTTACACAGTATTGGTCACCATATGTCAAAATAAACATTGGTATAGTGATGTGTAAAATAAATTTGCCATTTGAAATTAATTGAAATTAAATTCCACTTCCAGTGGGGAGTGGCCAATTATAATTCAATTCAAATAAAATATTAAAATATTGCTCCGTTCATGTAAATGTGACATTTCAGTTTTTTATTTGTAATAGATTTGCTAAAATTTCTAAAAACCTGTTTTTGCTTCGTCATTATGGGGTATTGTGTGTAGATGAATGAGGGGGGGGGGACTATTTAATCAATTTTAGAATATGGCTGTAACGTAACAAAATGTGGAAAAAGTCAAGGGGTCTGAATACTTTCCGAATGCACTGTATATCTTGTCATAAGGGCAACGTGACTGCAAAAGAGACAGGTTGGAATCAGGGTCGGCGTTGGTATCAGGGTCGGCGTTGGAATCAGGGTCGGCGTTGGAATCAGGGTCGGACAGGGCCTTAGCGGCCTGGCCCGCCCTACTGTACCTCCTTGCCCGTCCAAATAAAATATTGAAATATTGATCATTTATTTGACCGAGTCGTGCGCCGACAGAAAGACGCATCAATCTCAGATAAAGCATCCGATCGAGCGAAACAGCGCCCCCTCTGTCTCAGTATGTGTAGACCATTTATCTGATACTGTCTGGACAAAAAGAGTATGGCATGTCATACTATTTCTGGCCATACAGGATCAGATACATGGGCTACACATAGTAAGACAGAGGGGCGCTGTTTCGCTCGATCGGTTGCTTTCTCCGGTAATAGTTTTAGCAGAGAGGAAGAAGCGAAGCGAGACGGCTCACTCTCGACAAAATCTGTCCAGAATATGCCCAAAGCGTTTATCTGGGAATATTATGCAGACCTAAGCTTGCCTTCCCTCCTTTGGGACAACGACTCCCATTGTCAGGGCGGAGACATGAGCATCTCATCATCTGGTTTCAGCCTCTTGCGAATTGGAAAGGAGTGTTGGCGAGTGCACAGTTCAGATGCTGGCTTCACCGCAAGTAAATTTACGTTTTGCCAAAATGATCTACAGTGAGGGAAAAAAGTATTTGATCCCCTGCTGATTTTGTACGTTTGCCCACTGACAAAGACATGATCAGTCTATAATCTTAATGGTAGGTTTATTTGAACAGTGAGAGACAGAATAACAACAACAAAATCCAGAAAAACCAATGTCAAAAATGTTCTAAATTGATTTGCATTTTAATGAGGGAAATAAGTATGTGACCCCTCTGCAAAACATGACTTAGTACTTGGTGGCAAAACCCTTGTTGGCAATCACAGAGGTCAGACGTTTCTTGTAGTTGGCCACCAGGTTTGCACACATCTCAGGAGGGATTTTGTTCCACTCCTCTTTGCAGATCTTCTCCAAGTCATTAAGGTTTCGAGCCTGACGTTTGGCAACTCGAACCTTCAGCTCCCTCCACAGATTTTCTATGGGATTAAGGTCTGGAGACTGGCTAGGCCACTCCAGGACCTTAATGTGCTTCTTCTTGAGCCACTCCTTTGTTGCCTTGGCCGTGTGTTTTGGGTCATTGTCATGCTGGAATACCCATCCACGACCCGTTTTCAATGCCCTGGCTGAGGGAAGGAGGTTCTCACCCAAGATTTGACAGTACATGGCCCCGTCCATCGTCCCTTTGATGCAGTGAAGTTGTCCTGTCCCCTTAGCAGAAAAACATCCCCAAAGCATAATGTTTCCACCTCCATGTTTGACGGTGGGGATGGTGTTCTTGGGGTCATAGGCAGCATTCCTCCTCCTCCAAACACGGCGAGTTGAGTTGATGCCAAATAACTCGATTTTGGTCTCATCTGACCACAACACTTTCACCCAGTTCTCCTCTGAATCATTCAGATGTTCATTGGCAAACTTCAGACGGGCCTGTATATGTGCTTTCTTGATTAGGGGGACCTTGCAGGCGCTGCAGGATTTCAGTGCTTCACGGCGTAGTGTGTTACCAATTGTTTTCTTAGTGACTATGGTCCCAGCTGCCTTGAGATCATTGACAAGATCCTCCCGTGTAGTTCTGGGCTGATTCCTCACCGTTCTCATGATCATTGCAACTCCACGAGGTGAGATCTTGCATGGAGTCCCAGGCCGAGGGAGATTGACAGGTCTTTTGTGTTTCTTCCATTTGCGAATAATCGCACCAACTGTTGTCACCTTCTCACCAAGCTGCTTGGCGATGGTCTTGTAGCTCATTCCAGCCTTGTGTAGGTCTACAATCTTGTCCCTGACATCCTTGGAGAGCTCTTTGGTCTTGGCCATGGTGGAGAGTTTGGAATCTGATTGATTGATTGCTTCTGTGGACAGGTGTCTTTTATACAGGTAACAAACTGAGATTAGGAGCACTCCCTTTAAGAGTGTGCTCCTAATCTCAGCTCGTTACCTCTATAAAAGACACCTGGGAGCCAGAAATCTTTCTGATTGAGAGGGGGTCAAATACTTATTTCCCTCATTAAAATGCAAATCAATTTCTAACATTTCTGACATACGTTTTTCTGGATTTTGTTGTTGTTATTCTGTCTCTCACTGTTCAAATAAACCTACCATTAAAATTATAGATTGATCATTTCTTTGTCAGTGGGCAAACGTACAAAATCAGCAGGGGATCAAATAGTTTTTTCCTGTCACACCCTGGCTCTGGGACTCTATATGTTGAGCCAGGGTGTGTTCATTCTATGTGGTTTATTTCTATGTTGGGGGTTCTAGTTTGTCGTTTTCTATGTTTGCCTTAGTGACTCCCAATCAGAGGCAACGAGTGTCAGCTGTTGGCTGGTTGTCTCTGATTGGGAGCCATATTTAACTGTCTGTTTTTCACTTTGTGTTTGTGGGTTTTTGTTCCGTGTTCGGTCATTGTCACCGTGGACTTCACGAGTCGTTTCTTGTTTTTGTATTTTGTTTGACACTTTAACTAATTAAAGTATGTTCGTTCAACACGCTGCGCATTGGTCTACTTCTCTCCCTGACGATCGTGACAGAAAAACCCACCATACTAGGACCAAGCAGCGTGTCCAGGAGCAGGCAGACTGGACATGGGAGGATCGCCGGCCATGGAGTGAGACTGACGAGAGGCAACCCCAGAATTTTTTTTGGGGGGGGCACACGGCATGGACGACGGGGCTGACGGATGCAAAAGAGGGGCGGATTCTGGAGGCCACCAGGTTACGGATACACCGCCCTGTACGTCCTGTGCGGATGCCTCACACAGAGTGTGTGAGGGTAGGCATTCAGCCAGGACGGGTTGTGGCCGCTCTTCACTCCAGGGCTCCTATCCGTCTCCACAGCCCGGTTCGGCCTGTCCCTGCTCCACGCACCAAGCCTACGGTGTGCGTCGCCAGCCCGGTCCGGCCTGTCCCTGCTCCACGCACCAAGCCTACGGTGTGCGTCGCCAGCCCAGTCCGGCCAATCCCTGCTCCACGCACCAAGCCTACGGTGTGCGTCGACAGCCCAGCCCGGCCTGTCCCTGCTCCACGCACCAAGCCTATGGGGTGCGTCGCCAGCCCGGCCCGGCCTGTCCCTGCTCCACGCACCAAGTCTAAGGTGCGCGTCGCCAGCCCGGCCCGGCCTGTTCCTGCCACTCTCACCAAGTCTACGGTGCGCGTCGCCAGCCCGGCCCGGCCTGTTCCTGCCACTCGCACCAAGTCTACGGTGCGCGTCGCCAGCCCGGCCCGGCCTGTTCCTGCCACTCGCACTAAGTATACGGTGCGCGTCGCCAGCCCGGCCCGGCCTGTTCCTGCCACTCGCACCAAGCCAGGGGTGCGAGTCGTCAGCCTGGTCCAGCCCGTTCCTGCTACTCGCACCAAGCCAGGGGTGCGAGTCGTCAGTCCGGTGAGGCCCGTTCCGGCTCCACGCACCAAGCCAGGGGTGCGAGTCGTCAGTCCGGTGAGGCCTGTTCCGGCTCCACGCACCAAGCCAGGGGTGCGAGTCGTCAGTCCGGTGAGGCCCCGTTCCGGCTCCACGCACCAAGCCAGGGGTGCGAGTCGTCAGTCCGGTGAAGCCCGTTCCGGCTCCACGCAC